TGGTCCTGCTGCCAGGACCACGGGCTGGGTGGGCTCCTCACAGCTCTGGTCACTGCATCCTGGAGCTGGAACCTGGTTCCCCCCACAAAGACCACACGGGCATCTCCTGCGTGTTGTGTCCAGAGTGAGGAGGTGCAGCAGGCCCTCCACCTGGCTGACACAGCCAGCAGGGGAGGCCTGTAGCCCTCCCCATGCTTCCTTGGCTGGGTGTGAACAAGCAGGCACTTGTTTGCCTGTCCTTCCCTACCCAGCAGAGCTGGCTGTCATATTAACCCTTCCCTCCTCTTCCTTGGCTGGTGGGACATCTTCAGAGAAGCAAAGTTGGGGTGCATGGGAATTGCAACCCAGAGTCACAGACTGCATAGGAAACTGGGAATAATAATCACATCTGAAACGCTTCCAACAAGCTTGAAATGCTGAGCTGGCCCTGCTGAAGGCCTCGATAGTATAGGAAAACATATTTTGGACAGGGGATTTAATAACAGCCTTTAACAAAGAGGAAGAGGCTGAGATCTGAGTTCCGCTCTCACAGAATTCAGAGAGAGGCATCATTAACTTTATTTTTAGGCTTGGCTGAATAATCAGGAGGTTTGGAGATTTGCCTTCTCCGTTTCACTTGTTTTAGGAGAGGCTGTGCTGGCATAGCTGGGATCAAAAGCGCCCTGGGTTATCAGAAGCAGCACCTCTGTCACTTCCAGGGCTGTAATTCTGTGACCAGCTGATGAGCTGGAGAGTTTAATTTGCTTTTTTCCACAGCCCAGGGCAGCCACACATCACATTACCTGGGCTGCTCACAGACTTTCAGGTGGGAGAATGTGGCTGCTGGAGGAGCCCGGACCTTCCTCCCTTCTCCCTCCCTTGCTCTTGTGCTCTCCCCTGCACCTCGGTTTGCCATGTGCTTGCTCTGGCCTTCCCACCCAAAGGGCTTTCCGGCAGCTGGAAACCAAAGCGTGGGCTGGTTTTGCTGAGGAACTCAGCATGCCGGCTGCCCACCAAGGGACTGGTGGCACTGGCAAACAGGGGCTGGGTTGGGGGTCCCCGGGTGCTGCAGGTGGTAAATTTGCTGCAAACAGAGCCACCCCTTCTGCCTGCTCCTGCACAGAACAAAGTGGTGCCACGCAACGATGGCCTGATTCGCAGCTACGATCAACCTGGTGTTCAAAATGCGGTTGCGTGGGGAAGCGGGCAAGCTGCAATCAATTAAAGCGAGATTTCGGCCTGGGGATTTCCCCCTTCTCCTTTCAGTTCCCTCCAGCTTCGAAAGGGGTGGAGAGAGCTGGGACGCTAGCTCACGCAGGAGGAAAATTCCCCTTCGCTGAGGTTAATGAACCCGCCTGACGCGGTAGCGGCTGGGCCCGCCAGGGAGACGGGCTGCCGGTATTACGTGTTAGGCTGCATGTATATCTGTCAGCCGCAAGGCTCTGGCAAGAGGCCCTGGCTGGAATTAACCTGCAGTAACCCCTTGGCGCAGGGGCAGCCTTGGCGGGGTGTGCCTGCCCGGGCTGCGCTGGAGTATGAAAGCCATTATAATCCGTTCATTCACGGCACTTAAAGAGCCAGAGGTGGTTTGCTTTTTTTTTTTCCCCTGGTTCTCTTGGAAGGGAAGAGGGGTTGGAAATGGAAACCCGTATCGTTCTGTCCCAATGGAGTGTTACGCACTTTACTGAGCCCAGCACGC